AGACTCGCTTGAGCCCAGGAGTTGGAGGTTGCTGTGAGCTGTAATGCCACGGCACTCTACCCAGGGGGAGAGCTTGAGGCTCTGTCTCAAAATAAATAAATAAATAAATAAATAAAATCTACAAGCAGCATGATTTAAATTTCGGTATAGTAAAACTCCCATAGGAGTCAACAATTACTCCTCAGATCACATTCATAACACATTTAAAGAATAAATGCAGTGCCACAAATTCTTGTTGAAACCAACATGAGTTGGCAGCAGTAGTCACACAATCAGATAGCTTCCTTTAAACATGCTTTTGACAACTGGTCCTGTAAGTCAAAGACTTTTCTGAAAAACTTGCAACCACCAGCAGTCGGCTGCTGGGTAGTACACATTTCACCATTTGAAATATTCAAACAGCTTAAAATTAAGTAATTATTCAGGGTAGCCCTTACAGGTTATGCTCCTTTTCTACCTTTCCTTTTCATTTTTTCTTTTTTAAAAACAGGGTCTCACTATGTTGCCCAGGCTCATCTCAAACTCCTGGCCTCAAGTGACCCTCCTGCCTTGGCTTCCCAGAATGCTGGGATTCCAGGTGTGAGTCACTGTGCCTGGCCAGTGTGGTCCTTTTCTAGCTGACGTAAATGAACTTGGTCATTCAGCTATGCCTTTACATCTCTCTGCTTTCAAATTCAACAATGTTCACAAAGACAAGCAACCTCCTTCTACAAAGTCATTTCAACATCTTACTTTAAATAAGCCAGTTACAGTCAACTTACCATTTAATATAATAACACATTCCAGTAAAGCCTCATAGTTCTCACTTTCATTTATCACAGACACAGAAGCAAGAATCACAGATGTAATTCCATGAATTATTTCTATGTTTTTTCTCTATAAATAAAAAACAGTACAAGTGAATTAAAATCATCAATTTAAAATCAATTTATACAAGAAATTTAAGTTACAAAATTTCCAAAAATCAAGCCACATGTCTAGTTTATCTTAAAAGTAAATTAAAGTTAAACATAATACAAGTCAATTGTCCTAAAAGAACAGCAATAGTTGGTACCATGCTAGAGTAATACTTGTAGGGTTGAAATGTGGACAAAACCACAACAAACAGATTTTAGTATCTAAAATTCTTGACTTTAAAATTTTTATTAACTTAAAATGTGATTATACACAATAAACAATTATTTTTTAATAAAGAAAAGGGGAAATTTTTTTACTTTTAAAAACAAATGCTACCATTTTTGAGCCATCCTCTGTCTCCATAGCATCTTCCCCCTGGATGTGAGCTGCCGGCCACTCATCCATGTGGCTTGCTAACAGCACATCTGTCAGCAAAATCTTCAGCCTTTGCCATAATTCTTCTTTCTGTTTCCTTGATAACTCCTCCAGCAATTCATTTAGGCTGAAGGGGTCAGAGGGATCTTTCTGTAAAATAAACAGCAAGTATCATATTTCTTTTCCTTTCCTTTTTTTTTTTTTTTTTGAAGTGTCACATTTCAAATACCAAAATAACTATGTCCTTTTCACAATGGGAGTGGAAAAAGCATTAACTTATTACAAATTTAAGAGTTTGATTAGTTTTCAAAATCCACTCCTAAAAGGAGAAAAGTACAGAGATTATCAATTAGAAAGTATCACCTCTTCTTCCGTGGTATCCTTATCTTTAGAGTTTAAAATTTCATCCAATTAGCAAAATCTTCCCTAAAAGTAACCCAAACATGCACCATCTCCAGACCTGTAATTACGTCGCAATAGTAACAACACTGACATGGCCACACAGACCGGCTCCACCCTTAGTCTGGAGTCCAGCCCCACATGGACTTTCTGCTCTCCTGTCAGCAGCGAGATGGTTTTGGATCTTTCCAGCAATCCTCTCAATACACTTCCTCTGGCTCTGAACAGATAAGCTCAGCTATTCTGACAGAATTAGAGGCCATTATCAAAAGAGCACAGAATCCAGTTAAAGGAACTTCTAGTCCCCTAATCCAGGAGAATCTAGCACCAAAACTGACAGTGATGGATCATAACCTGTTGAACAAAAGTCAGAAAGGCCAAGTTGGGTGTCACCTGTGGTCCCAGCCACTCAGGAGGCAGAGAGAGGAGTAAGCCCCTGTTGTCTCCAAAATAAAAATCAATGAGGTCGGGTGGTGCCTGTGGCTGAAGGAGTAGGGTGCCAGCCCCATATCCTGAAAGTGGTGGGTTCAAACCCAGCCCTGGCCAAAAACTGCAAAAAAAAAAGAGGTCATACTGTTAATAACAAATTAGCAGCATTTGCAACTGTAGAACGCCAATGAATAAATACAGAAGCAATATGGGGTTAAAAAGTCACAATTTTAGGGCAGCGCCTGTGGCTCAAAGGAGTAGGGCGCTGGCCCCATATGCCAGAGGTAGGGGGTTCAAACCCAGCCCTGGCCAAAAACTGCAAAAAAAGGCACAATTTTATAACCTCTGTAGAAACAAAAACATCAATGGATACCATAGGAGGGTAGACACCTGGGTGGAACAGAACACTCAGTGCCAACTTCCCCACCAATGACTGGTCACTACAAAGAGGAAAGGAACAGCTCCTTAAGGATGGACGTGGTAGACACACATCCACACTGGGGTGGCCACACCTCCCACCTGGCAGCAGCACACCCAGGGGAACTAATGCAGTTACACAGCTCCTGCCAACATGTACACTCAGAGTCTGCTCTGACTGCCAAGCATGAAAACTGAAGAATATACACAGGGACCTGCCTGCACTCTTCAAACTATCAGTGTCACAACAAAGGAAGGCAGAGAAACTCTTCTACTGGATTAAAGACAACTAGTGAGACAACCCTGCTAAATGCAATGTGTCCCTGATCCTGCACTGAGTCCTTAATCAGGAAAAAATGCTGCTGAAAAGGAGCACAGGGACAAATGAAGAAATGTGACTATGTACTGCAGATAATGGTATTACCTGTCATGTTAAATTTCCTGATTTTGAGGATTTTAAAGCAGTCATGTCACATATCTTTATTTTAGAAAAATACACACTGAAATATTCAGGGGTAGAGGCATAATGCCTGCAACTGACTCTTAAGTGAGTCCACAAAAACACCTAAATACCAAGAATAACAAAGAAAATGTGGCAAGTGGTAACAGCTCATACATCCGAGTTAGGTACTCAAGACTCCTCTGTACACTGTCTGTCATTTTCCTTTAACTTTCACAGCTCCTTCATTAGGAAGGAAGAAACACATACTGAACGGGAATCTCTCACATATGGCCACAACCGAGCTCTTCCTCCCCTACTCCAAAAGGGAAACAGTCAGCCAGCCCAGGGCCCTCCCAAACCCTCTCCTGTGTCTCCTCTTATCCCCACCTCTGGCCTCTAATGAAATTAGATCTGGCCTCACAGCCCCACTGACTGTTCTTGCCATGGTCTACGATGCCCAGTGGCCTCTTCTTGGCCCTCACTAGGTGACCCCTCAGCACCCCACACTGATGACAGCCCCTTGTGGGCTCACTTCCCAGCTCGTAGGCACCCAGTAGAATGCAGCCCTCCTGGGCCTACAGGGCCTGCCTTGCCACTCCTCCATTCTGAGCCCACCACACTCCTCCCAGGCTTGCCCTCCCTGCCCCAGGCTCCGGCCCCTCCCATCTGGAATCCTCTTCCTTCAAACCACCGCATGGCCCATTAGGATCTCTAGTCAAAAGACACACCACATAAAGATAGACCACATATATCTGCTGGTCCCCTAAGATTACAGTGGAGCTAAGAAGCTCCTACTGCCCAGGGATGCTACAGCCACTACTCACATGCTTATAGTTACAATGGTATAAACAACCCACTTTGCTAACTTTCCATTCCTACCTCAGAGTGTGCTCCCACTTATAAAGGAAACTTCAGCTGTGAAGAAGACTCAGGCAGGCCCTATAGGAGGTGGCCAGAGGAGGCGCTCCCATCACAGGGGAGGATGCTCCATGCCAGCTGCCGCCCTGCAGACCTTCCAGTGGGACAAGGTGTAGAGGCAGAGACAGTGATCTTGGTGATCCTGACCCTGTGTGGGCCTCAGGTAATGTGTATCTTAGTTTGTAAAAAAAAATTCAAAAAATTAAAAAACTTGGGGTGGCGCCTGTGGCTCGAGGAGCAGGGCACCAGCCCCATATATTGGAGGGGGTGGGTTCAAACCTGGCCAAAAAAAAAAAAAAA